AGTGAGTAGTCTGAAGTATTCCGTCCTCTTCTGTCTTTGTGTTTTAGCCCTGACTGTTGATAAGAGCTCAGTTGTTGGGACCCAGGCGTGACCGGAGCCTGCAGGCGGCGGCCCTCACAGCAGAGAGGCCTGACGTCTTCATAGCTTTGCACATTTGGACGATGAAAATGAATTGGTTTAGTTGCCTGTGTGAGGTGATGCTCTCAGACTTGAGCGGGTGTTTGTGATTGGCTCCTGATGACGTCATTCATTGTTAGAGTCCAGTTCTATCACTGCTTCGGTTTTTCTCTCCTCATCTCATGGAAAAAATGAAGCATAACGTCGTTTCCGGACTATGAGCTTTTTCCTATAGTTCATGGCTTATTTATTGTGGCCATGTGTGAAAGCCAGATCCCTCTCAGACCTCTAAAGCTAAGCAGGGAAGGGCCTGGTTAGTGCTGTGATGGGAGACCTCTAGGAACATCAGGTGCCACAGTGGGGCGGCTGCGTGTCCTTAGGCAAGACACTTCCCCCACATTAGAATAAGTCTGATGGTGGTCAGAGGGGCCGATGGCACAGACTGGTTGCCTTGCTTGCATCAGTGTGTCCCAGGGCAGCTGTGGCTACATTATTAGGTTATCACCACTGTGTATGGAGTGAAATCTGAAGAATGTCCAAAAAAAAAGCTCTTTATAAAACTGATGCATTATTGTCATTGTTATTATGATTATTGTTATAAAGAAATGTGACAAAAATGTGTCATTTTGATGTAGAGTTGTCAGAGCAGTTTCTGGATTTATTATTTTGACTCCAAGTTTTAGCAGCTGTAGGACACTTGGTTATTGTCAAAAAAATGATTGAGTCTTGGAAGCTAACGGTGAATGAGGCATAAGATAAGATAGACTTTATAGAAGCTAACAGTTATGCTAGTAAACACATCCTCATTACATCATGTTGTGTTCAGTTAAAACAGTCGTCTCTCTGCTACATTACAACATAAAAACCTGCGGCTTATATTCAAGTGCGGCCTATATGTGGACAACTTCAATTAGCTTTTCATATGTGGGTGGTGTGGCTTATATACGGGTGCGGCTTATATACAGGTGCGGCTTATATACGGGTGCGGCTTATATACAGGTGCGGCTTATATACAGGTGCAATTTATATACGGGTGCGGCTTATATGCGGGTGCGGCTTATATACAGGTGCGGCTTATCGTCCAGAGAGTACAGCTTGTACACTGTAGATGCTCATAGATTCATTTCAAACTAAGATGGACTAAACATTCGTCTGGTGACTGTGACAATTTATAAACTTTGCCAATCGCACATTTTTATGGATAATTATGTTATGATGTCTGCGGCAAAACACGACACAAAGATGTAAAAGTCTTGACTCAGGATCTGTTTCTGAGGGAGAGAGATCAGCTGAGACCAGTATTTCGGCCTTCGTCACCTGGGTTTTATTTGGTTCCGTGCCTTTAAGATGTTAACATACAGTGTATTAAATGGGAGGATTTTCTACTTCCGGGTGGATCATCAAGACGATTGGTCCCCATAAATCATTCTGGTGATACGTGCTCGTCCAATAAGATCAAAGAGTTTTGTTCAAAAAGTGGAGAGGGCGGTTCTTTTCCAAGATTTGGGAAAATCATCCTTTAAACCTTTAACATTAAGATCATACGTGGTTAGCTAGTAAGTATGTAGTAAGCACTCCTCTTCCACAGTTACAGGATACATTCTATGGCATTTCTACTACAAAACATTAGTAGATGAGAAATATTTTGTACATTTTTAACATATCACGCTGGAAAAAGATGAAAAATAAGTCAATAATTGCTCTAATTCTGCAAAATGTGTCTTCATTTGAGCACATTCTCACTCTTAAGTAGTAAGTAATTATTTATATACCGCCTTTTCACTGCAGAGCTGAGTCTCAAAGCGGTTTACAATTGTTAATTTTGGGCATTTGTCTCTCACTCCACACAGAGATGGGAGGGGCCAGTACAGGAGGCACATGCCAGAACTATTTTACATATTTTTAGCGGTAGGGGAAACCGGAGTACCCGAAGGAAACCTACGCAGACACGGGGAGAACATGCAAACTCCACTCAGAAAGGCCCTGGTCCGACCGGGATTCGAACCCAGGACCTTCTTGCTGAGAGGCGAGAGTGCTATCCACTCAGCCACCGTGCCGCCTTGGGTCCCACTGGGGAATCTTAAAACAAGATTCCCCAGTGGGACAAAGCAAAAGGATCTTGTTTTAAAAAGACACTAAAATATCTTTCTTGGAATGAGAAAACAAAGCAACAATTTTTAAAATAAAACTAAAATAATTTGTCTCATTGAAGAATCTGGTTTTAAGACATGATAATAAGACATGGTTTTATTATCATATCAATTGTGGTGAACATTTTTCTTTTACATGTTTCTTGAATACATAAATGAAAAAGTTTGTCAGATGTAACTTTGCAGCCAGAAGAAGTTGTGCTCCTGTCACCAGTGGTTTATCTGGGTCTGGCGCCGCTTCTGTGTCTCTGGAGGTGACTCTGCTCAGATCTGAGGCCCATCCACAGAAGTGTGCACAAAAATGTGAATATTAATACCACTAATACTCCAGATGCAGCATTGGAGGCAGTTAAAGGCATCTAAATTTAATGTGGTGCAGAGTGACCGCGGGGCCTGACAGACGGGGTCCTCGGTGTGGGGAGGTGGGATCACAGCGGGCGCCAGGACCACCGCCTGTCAGAAAGTATAGCCACAAATAGGTTTGAAAACTTTCTCTCGACTTTTCTAGACCTGAGATATGCCATAGACACTGCATAAAGTGATGGAAAATAATTTTGTATGAGAATAATCATGTATTTGCCATTTGCAGTAAAACCCCATTGGAATACATGTGCCAAAGTCCCCAGTGTGCACAAGACAAGTACGTAGATAAAATAATGTTTAAAAGTACATAAATAAAACAAACAAAAACAGTAAACAATTGACCGAGTTTCAATTCTTGTGTTTCGTCTGACGTCAGGGCAGTGACCGCACCCTGGAGGTGCAGTCTGCCGGGTTTATACACGGAGATATAGTAGAAGAAGAAGTGGTTTATACACGGAGATATAGTAGAAGAAGAAGTGGTTTATACACGGAGATATAGTAGAAGAAGAAGTGGTTTATACACGGAGATATAGTAGAAGAAGAAGCATCTTTTTGTGCGGTGAACGCTTGTAGCAACCGCACAAATAGAGAGACCAGAGTTTGTTCATGTTCCAACTGTGGTCTCATATAAAGGAGGACACTTTGAAAAAATCACTGGAATGAGGCGGGCGAGGTGGATCAAGGCTTTCCCAGATAAGCGCCCCCTGCAGGCCACCCCAATGAAACACAGCAATTTCTTCTGTTTTTCTTTCCAAAAATGCCCAAAATCAAGACTCTTTTGAGAAATATTTGTTAGTCCTTCCTTAGAATTGAGTGTCCCCGATTAAGACTGTTCCAACAACCGTACACCGCACAGGAGGAGAGCCTTTGACTCCAAAACAGACTTTACATGGTTTTCAATGGGAGCAACACTGTCCCACCTCTGCTCATGCGCCCCCTACAGGCCAGTTTAATGAAACACAAGAATACAAAGACATTAAGTAACAAATTGGTTAAATTTGTCAAAATTAATCTGAATTTGAGCACATTCCGACTGCCTTATTAAAACTGTCATCGGGAAAAAGCAAAATTATCTTGTTTTAAAAGACAAAAATAATGTCTCGCTTGAAATGAGAAAATAAAGCAACAATTCCTGAAATAAGACTTAATGTTTTGTCCCATTGGAGAATCTGGTTTTAAGTCAGAATATACTTGAATTAAGATGAAAAGCCTTTATTACCTAATTTTTCTCATTTTTAAACACATGTATATTTATTATTATCAAAGGAGCCACATTCAAATGCAGCCAGAGGTATCATTTTTTGCAGTGTACGGTCATTCTCACTCAAATGTAAAATGAGATTTGCACAAGAATGTTTTTAAATAACATTAGCTGTACTTATTTAATAGAATGTCCTTTGTGGCACTGTAGAAAACATGCAAAGTCTGTCTGTCTACAAATGTGATCAGACAGTGGTGTTGTTTGCTAGTTCACATCCTAATGCTAATCCTCGTATGTGCCTTTTGAAAATATTTTTTTGATATTATATTTATTTTCCCCTAAAGCTGGGATACTTTTCTTAATGTCTACTTTGTTCCTAAGTATATCTAGTAAGTGGATTCTCTTGGCGGTATGGTGGCGCAGCAAGGTGGCCCCTTGTTTGATTCCTCCTCCAGTCCTTTCTGAGTTTGCATGTTCTGTGTGTGTCTGCGTAGGTTTCCTCCAGGTGCTCCAGTTAGGTATGAATGTAATAAGTGAGGGCATGGATGGCGACGGTCGCTTCTGTCATCACCGTGTGGAGAGAGAATGAGAAATACTGGTACACCAAGATTGTCTATTGTCCTGACTCTGGGACCAGCAGGAGGCCAGTCCCTGTGCTCCTCAGAGTCCCAGCAGGAGGCCAGTCCCTGTGCTCCTCAGAGTCCCAGCAGTAGTCCAGTCCCTGTGCTCCTCAGAGTCCCAGCAGGAGTCCAGTCCCTGTGCTCCTCAGAGTTGATTCATTTGGCTCTAACCTCTTTTGTTATGTGTTTGTATGATAATAACAAGAGTGATGCTTCTGTGTTTGCCTGAATAAAGTATAAATAATCGATAAGTAAACATATGTACTTTGGTGCTCTTCCATCTCAATATTTTTAGATTTTTGGCTCTAAAACTAGTCCCTCAGTTTAAATACTGAATGATTTGTCTCAATTTCGTAATCCCAAACGAGTGTGTGCGTCTCAGTACGTGACAAAAGAGACACGTGTATGGTTTTCGGTGCAGATAACCCATTTCAGACCTCTGTATTGTTAGAAAATGCACCAACGTCTGCTGCAGGAATAAGAAAGCAGCCTTTGAAGTTATTAATAGTTCCCGAAATGATCTTAAATATTTGTGAGTGAATCAAAAGCTCAACCTAACACCACAAATAAAGAGGCAGCGATAGGCATCAGGGCCTGCAGGTACAGGGCTTTTAATCGCTTTAGCTGCAGTCTCCACGCCGCACTCCTCACATAAGCCTCGCCGACTTCAACAGAGCCAAGACTCGGACGTGGGGCATGGGGCAGCTCTATTATGAAGAAACTAATAATCACCATATATAGAGAGAAGTCAGGGATCAGCGCCTCGGACCGGAGGAGAACAAATCCAACACAATTATTCAGGGAGACGTCCTGGTTCTACAGATCCTGAGTCCTGGGTCTACGGCCTGTCGGTCTGTGGGAGCGGGTCTCTCTCTCCGTATGGGCCTCCTCAAGGTTTCTCACTTTTTTACCATGGTTTTTATTTCTGAGGCAGGAGGGTCTAAGGCAGTGGTGGGCAAAGAGAGATTAGGATTAAGAACATTTATTCATCCTGCAGTGGGGTAATTTCAGTTTAAACATCATACAATCCCCCTCTGTGCTGTGTGCGGAGCTATTTTATTTATGTTTTAAAATGAAGCCTGAGAAAAAACATTGGAGGATCAGACGGCTGTCGGGATCCGGACCTAGTTTCCAATGTGGCCCTCAGGAGGAAAGGTTTGCCCGTGTCTGGTCTAAGGACAGCGATGATCCAGGACTTTTTCGGACATTAACTTACATTTATGGACAGTGGTCGTCCCGCTTCCGACACTGTGAAAAGTGAATTAGAATCTTTTTTTAATGCCACGTAAGAAACAGAAAGTCACATACTAGGAAATGACTTTGGCTCTCGGTGCAACAGTCAAAGTCAGAGGGAAAGAATAGAGTAAGGCATAATAAAAATGTGAAAAAATGCGCAATTCTGGCAAAAAACATCTACATTTGAGCACATTCTGACTGAGCCTTTAAACAAGATTTGCCAACGGGACAAAGCAAAATGATCTTCTTTAAAAAATATACAAGACTAAAATGGCTTTGTCCCATTGGCAATTCTGGTTAGAATGTACTCAAATTATGATAAAGACACTTAATTCAATCAATTATAACCTCATATTTTATCATTTTCTTTGCTGTTTATGAACCAATGGCTTCTATGTGTTTGTTATTTCTGCATTTCTTTTGTTCCAACTGTTTGATTCTGGTCCTGGTCTGTTTTGACGATGCTAAAAGTCAAAGTTGTTATCACAGTATCTGCCCAAAGTATAGACTCACTGCTCCTCTGTACTTGCTCTGTATTGATCCGCTGAAAAGTTTTACCTGCGATCGTTTTGATAGTCCCAATGTCGAGCCAAACACGCGTGTGCTTTTCTGTTTCTTTGGTGTGTGCGTCTGGTTCTGGCCCGATGCCACACTCCTCACCACCGCTTCATCTCTGTCATGAGGCAGCTGCAAAATCTCCATCCTTCTAATTGGACAAAGTGCCTTTCAAACTCCCGGCATCTCGTGCGTCCACAGACCGGGCGTTCACAGGTGTCCACAGATCTGCCTGTCCTCCTTTTCCAAACTACATCTCGGCTTTCTTTCTCCACTCCGGCTCCTCTGCTGCTGTATTCCCTGTTGTGGAGATGCCCACGGCTTAAGAAAACCTTGTCCGATAGATTAATTACAAGAATATGCTCTTGTTATTTTGACTTTGGGGCTTTGAGGACATTCACACTCTTCCAGTTCAGATTTATTTGTGCTTAATTAAATTATACCTGTCAGGCCTCTCTTGTGGTCCGGCCGCGGGAGCATGGGAGGGCCGCTGTAGCTGGAGGCAGGACCGGGACCGGGTGGGAAAAAGTGAAAACTGCTTCACAAGAGCAGCGTTGTTGTTTTTAGACTGTTCCAATCGGGTAAAAAAAGTAAGGCATGAATTTTGGATGAGCCGATGGATTTGGAGAGGCTGGTGATTGAAGGCTGACCACAGAGAGAGTGTTTTATGATACAATACACACACAACAAGTGTATTCTTTTGTTTCAACGCACAAATATGAAAACATTTATTTGTTTGAAAATAGCTGTGAAGTAGATAAAGCAGTTTTTCGGTAACTCCCTGCCTGCCATTGACGTCGTCTTGTCTGAGACTTATGATTTCGGTCAAACTTCCATCAACTTGACCAAGGATTACAGGAGAACTCAACAAACCGTTTTTCAGAGTCTGGTTTCAGATCTCCAATTTCCGAATCAATCTCCTCTTAAAACACGTTCAAATCATTATTGTGTCTGCTTAGGTTTCCTCTGGGTGCTCCGGTTTTCCCTACCACTAAAAACCTGCTCAATAGGTTCATCCTCCAGCTCTGGGGATAAATAAAGTGCATATTTTCATTATTGTAAGTGACATAAAGTTAAATATTATTGAGATATTGAGATGTGTGTGTGTGTGTGTGTGTGTGTGTGTATGTGTGTCTGTGTGAGTGTATGTGTGTGTATGTGTGTGTGTGTGTGTGAGTGTATGTGTGTGTATTTGTGTGTGTGTGTGTGTGTGTGTATGTGTGTGTGTGTGTATGTGTGTGTGTGTGTGTGTGTCTGTGTGTGTGTGTGTGTGTGTGTGTGTGTGTGTATGTGTGTGTGTGTGTCCGTGTGTGTCCGTGTGTGTGTGTATGTGTGTGTGTGCGTGTGTGTGTGTGTGGCCTTGCTTACTAAAGAAGTCTTTCAGAGCGCTAATAGTTCACAGTGTCATCCAGCCAACTTCAGCTCAGCCAGAATAGGCATGCTGTACGTCGTTTATCTCTTTATTTAGACATTTGTTCCTGATTCCATCACAAAACTCCATATATGGTCGTTCATGTAGAAGGTTAGTGGTAAACTCCGGTTCTGTCAAAGGCGAATCAAGAACGATAAATACCTTGTTTTAGAGCTCGGAACAAAATCCTGTAAAACGGTTCTAAATTCCAGCTCTGGGCCCCTGGATAAATCTGGTGAACTATATTGACTAAAAATATTATATCCTCTTCTGTCACTTCATTTCCTCTGATGAAGGCGGGAGTCCAACCTCAGAACATATCGGTCTCACATTTTTGTCTTATTTTTACAATATTGTTCCTGTTACTTACACTGGGAGTACAATAATTCTGATTAGCCTGAAAAAAAAAACAAATCTGTCATAACCAGTTGAGTACCATGTTTTAAAATACAGATATGTTTCCCAAAGTGTTGGCCTGGCCTGTAATGCAGCGTCTCCTTTGGATGCACTGCTCTCACTGTGAGCGGAGCAGAGGACCGGGGAGATTGATGGTGCTGTGCTTTATCAGACCAGAATACCTGATTCTCCCTTCAGGGGGTGAGTGCTGCTACCCCCGCCTCCCCCCCCCCCCCCCCCCCCCCACAACACACCACACCCCCCCCCCCCCCCCCCCCCCCCCCCCTGTGCCGCTGTGTCGCTGAACCACCAGGTGAACGTTCCTTCGCGGTGGGAGGGGGCGCGGGGCCGATGGAAGTGCATTGGCCCCGAGCATGGCGCCGCACTCATCCATGGAGCCACCCCACATGGGACCGTCCCACAGGCAGACACAGGAGACACTCAAACAAGTCCATCCACACCAGCCTCTGTAAACATCAGAGCAGGGAGAACAACGGCGAGCGCCAAATATAGGACGGATTTAAGTGAAATGATTCGCTAGTTCTGTGGCTGACATTGACCATATTCAGATATATTAAGAATCTGTGGTTTAGCCGTATATAATCCTGGTGTTTTTATTTTTATATGGCCTTTTTAAATCCAGAAATGAGCCCTAATTACGGACCAGGTGGCTTCTGTCCCCCAATTCGGCATCAGCCAGCGAATAGCACGAGCAGGAACAGAGCAGCCTTGATCCTGATTGGCTCTTTGGTTGCTGGGTAGTTACCATACCCAAATCTGGCGACACATTCCCTCTCCTGGAGACTTTTAGAGATAGTTCGAATGAGTTTCATAAGCGATAAGTTGAACACTAAGAGTAACGTCAGCGCTGGGTTAGTCACTCCTTAAGTTATTTTCTTCTTCTAACCCAGACGGGAAAAAAGGTTTGCAATGTTATGATCTTGTTTCAACAATAATCTCAGACACTTCTAAGGAACGCTGCGAGCTGTAATTATAATAATATACAAGTGCATCAAGTGTATTAAATTAGGTAACGGCCCGTCAATAAAAATAGCCATTGACATTGTTGATTTCATCGACTAATTGTTCCATTATACTGTAATCATCACAATTCTGAGGGATATAACACTTTAATGAATCAGTTTTAGTTTTTTAGAATCTCAAAGACACTGATTCTTTAACTCCAAACACAGTGGAGATGAACTACTGTAGCCACAGCTGCCCTGGGGCACACTGACCAACCATGGGCGGCACGGTGGCTGAGAGGATAGCACTCTCGCCTCTCAGCAAGAAGGTCCTGGGTTCAAATCCTGGTTGGACCAGGGCCTTTATGAGTGGAGTTTGCATGTTCTCCCCGTGTCTGCGTAGGTTTCCTCCGGGTGCTCCGGTTTCCCCTACCACTAAAAATATGTACAAAAGGTCTGGCATGTGCCTCCTGTACTGGCAAAAAATAACAATTGTAAACCGCTTTGAGACTCCGATGTGCAGTGAAAAGGCGGTATATAAATAAAGATTACTTACTTACTTACATTCACACACACACCAGACTCATTCTAATGTGGGGGTAAAGTGTCTTGCCTAAGGACACAACCACAGTCTGGCACTTTACAGCCACAGCTGCCCCACTGTGGCACCTGGCGTTCTCAGAAGTCTCCCATCACAGCACTAACCAGGCCCTGTCCTGCTTAGCTTCATAAGTCTGACCGGATGTGGCTTAAACTACAAGAACGTCTGTGTTTGATGTGGCCACCCATGGATCTATGAATACAGAGAGCAGTGTCTTCTCTCTCCTGACAGGCTCTCTGCTGACCTGTCAATCATTTCAACCATTACCGTGCGCTCGGAGCTGGATCTGAAACAACCGTGCTCCCTCCTGAGTTTGGGAAATGGACTGGTTTAGAAAATCCCAGAGCAAGGCAAAACTTTCAAAAAATATATTGATAGTGTGGGGAGTGATGAGAGGGGATGTCAGGGTCTGTGGTGGTCCTGGGTCTACAGCCTGAGTCCTGGGTCTACAGCCTGAGTCCTGGGTCTACAGTCTCAGTCCTCGGTGGTCTACAGCCTGAGTCCTGGGTGTACAGCCAGAGTCCTGGGTCTACAGCCTGAGTCCTGGGTCTACAGCCTGAGTCCTGGGTCTACAGCCTGAGTCCTGGGTCTACAGCCTCAGTCCTGGGTCTACAGCCTCAGTCCTGGATCTACAGCCTGAGTCCTGGGTCTACAGCCTCAGTCCTGGATCTACAGCCTGAGTCCTGGGTCTACAGCCTCAGTCCTGGGTCTACAGCCTCAGTCCTGGGTCTACAGCCTCAGTCCTGGGTCTACATCCCCTCCCTTGATGTGGGACTCCTCGAGGCTTCTCACTTTTCTCCCACTGGTGATGATCCAGGACACTTCATGAACATTTTTGGACATCGGTCTCTGCTCGTTTTAGACCAAAGTCTCTGTGTGTTTTTTTTAACATTGTTTTTCTTTTGTTTGAACGGTTTGATTTTCTGATCTGTGTTCGCGAAATCAACGGTTTTGTAAAATCCTCCAAAATAACTACAGTTGTGATTTAGGGCCATACAAAAACCACACCGGGCGGCACGGTGGCTGAGTGGATAGCTCTCTCGCTTCTCAGCAAGAAGCTCCTGGGTTCAAATCCCGGTCGGAACAGGGCCTTTCTGAGTGGAGTTTGCATATTCTCCCCGTGTCTGCTCCGGTTTCCTGCGGGTGCTCCGGTTTCCCCTACCACTAAAAACATGTACTGTCTGTGCCTCCTGCATGACGACCCTGCTCCATCTGTGTGGAGTGAGAGACTAATGCCCAAAAATAACAATTGTAAACCTCTTTGTGACTCTGGTCTGAGAAAGGCGCTTTATAAATAAACATTACTTATTTACTTCCTTAAAATACATTGAAATGAATTGAAGTGAATTGGTCAAGTTCAATTCAACTCAAATCAATCCATATTTGTCTCGACCTAATTCACAACAGCATCCATCCATCCATTTTCTTCCGCTTCATCCGTTGCCGGGTCGCGGGGGCAGCAGTCTAAGCAGAGACGCCCAGACTTCCCTATCCACACACACTTCTTCCAGCTCGTCCGGGGGGACTCCAAGGCGTTCCCAGGCCAGCTGAGAGACATAGACCCTCCAGCGTGTCCTGGGTCTTCCCCGGGGCCTCCTCCCTTCACAACAGCAGTCGTCTGTCAATTCAACGACAAGAGATCAGAGAATCAAATTGTTCAAACACGGCTTTGTGTGACCTTGGCCTCGCTGTTAAAGGCACTATATAAAAAGATTACTTACTTACAAGAAATGCAATAATAACAAGAACATAGGAACCATTGGTGCGTAGTTAACAGGATGACCACTGTCCGTAAAAGTCCATAAATGTTCATGTGTGTCCTTAAACCCTGCTTCAACAAAGAAACAACCCTTTTTTCTGACCTTTGAATCATTTTAACCATTTCTGCTTGATCCGTGCTCCCTGCTGTGTTTGGGAAATGAACTGGTTTAGCCAATCCCCGAGCAAAGCAGACCTTTCAAAAAAATGCATTATTTTCTGAGGCGGCTGCTGCGAGAGGATATTGGGACGTGTGGTGGTGGTCAAGTCTGGTTTCACAACAGAAAAACAGAAGAAAACCATTTTGAAGAAGCGACAAAGCTTATAGGGAGAGAAAGCTGTGTGAGTACGGTCTTGCTTTTAGAAGAAGTCTTAATGTTTTGCATGTAAGGACCCAGACGTGGTAATCTAATCAGATGGAAGCATGGACGGCTTTTACATAACAAAATATTCATCGGCATATGGTCCACTCGTATCTGTTAGAGCTTAAAATAAAAAACAGCTACAGCGTTTTGGAAATTGGCATTGTCCTGCGTCATCTGCTGCGCGCCATATGGACAGTAGAGCCGGATTATTGCTTGCCTTTTATACACTTACATCATTTTGTATAATTTAACAGCTTTTATCCGACAGTGTGAAGGCAGGGGTACACAGTAAACGTAATAATCAACAGATATAGGTTTTATAATGGACAAGGTGTGGGGCACGGGAGGCAGATGGCGAAAGCAAAGTGTAGATGTGCGTATTAAGAGTAGCACATGCTGGGAGTGTCGCTGGATGGAGCCCAGCGGAGGGAGAGCGAAGCAGTGACCTTCTGTCCCGTCATTTACCCCCTTGTGCCCCCCCATACTGCTCTCAAATTACTTTGTTATAGCCAATTAAAGGGGCCGGCTGTGTATGAAGCGGGGCTGCCATTTCTTGCTCACCTGGCCCTGCGTGACACGATCAGTCCGTCACTGTGTGAGAGAGAGAGAGAGAGGGCGGGAGGGGGGGGGGAGAGAGAGAGAGTGGGGTAGAGAGAGAGAGAGGGAGGGAGGGAGAGCGGGGTTAGAGAGAGGGTTAGGGTGGGGTAGAGAGAGGGAAAGAGAGGGTGGGAGGCGGAGGCGGGGGCGGGGGGGGGGGGGGGGGGGGGGGGTGCAGAGAGACCAGAGAGAGACCAGAGAGAGACCAGAGAGAGAGACCAGAGAGAGACCAGAGAGAGACCAGAGAGAGACCAGAGAGAGACCAGAGAGAGAGACCAGAGAGAGAGACCAGAGAGAGAGACCAGAGAGAGAGACCAGAGAGAGAGACCAGAGAGAGACCAGAGAGAGACCAGAGAGAGAGACCAGAGAGAGAGACCAGAGAGAGAGACCAGAGAGAGAGACCAGAGAGAGAGACCAGAGAGAGAGACCAGAGAGAGAGACCAGAGAGAGAGACCAGAGAGAGACCAGAGAGAGAGACACCAGAGACACCAGAAAGAGAGAGGCGATCTGAGGAGCACATGGACTGGCCTCCTGCTGGTCCCAGAGTCAGAACTAAACATGGGGAGGCATCAGATTTATGCCGCTAAAATCTGGAACAGTCTTCCTGAAAATGTGAGACTCTGTTCAAATCCATTTATGGGACACATCTGCTGATCTAATCCACACTTCTCTCTCTTGTTTGTACAGATTGATGGTTCCAAAAAGTCTAACATATTTAACACATTTAGTTTCATTATCGGTGTAAAGTCTGTTTTTGTCCCCAAAGCGTCGTGGACTCTTCGCTGCGATTAGTTTCTCTCATCCACAGATTTACAGCGGCTCAATAGACTGATCAGCGGAGCTACAGTAGCAGAGGCAGACCAGAGAGAGGCCAGAGAGAGCCAGAGAGAGACCAGAGAGAGACCAGAGAGAGCCAGAGAGAGCCAGAAAGAGCCAGAGAGAGGTCAGAGAGAGAGCCAGAGAGAGAGCCAGAGAGAGGCCAGAGAGAGCCAGAGAGTCAGAGAGAGACCAGAAAGAGACCAGAGAAAGACCAGAGAAAGACCAGAAAGAGACCAGAGAGAGGCCATAGAGAGGCCATAGAGAGGCCAGAGAGAGGCCAGAGAGAGGCCAGAGAGAGACCAGAGAGAGACCAGAGAGAGACCAGAGAGAGCCAGAGAGAGCCAGAGAGAGCCAGAGAGAGAGCTAGAGAGAGGCCAGAGAGAGCCAGAGAGTCAGAAAGAGAGCCAGAGAGAGGCCAGAGAGAGCCAGAGAGCCAGAGAGAGAGCCAGAGAGTCAGAGAGAGACCAGAAAGAGACCAGAGAAAGACCAGAAAGAGACCAGAGAGAGGCCAGAGAGAGAGGCCAGACGGGACATCAGGGCCGAGACTGTGGACCTGCTCCTCCTCTTCCTCTTCCTCCTCCTCCCTCTCCTCCTCCTCCCTCACCCGCCTCACCCGCCTCATCTCCCACTAACGGAGATGTCTTTGAAGGGGAGTTTAGTCGCCGCCTGCTCCGTTTGGCTCATGTGTTTTCCTCTCAGAGCGTCGCCAAAGGACTCAGACGTCTGTCATTTGTTTTACCTTCAAAAAAAGAATAGCACCAAAAACAAAATACTGATCGTCTGGAAGTATTTGAAGTAAACGATTCAGTAATACCTCATGAGGCGTAATTGCAGAGCTGAGGTGTCATAGTGGTGGAGATTCATAAAGCAATGTGTTATTATCTTTTGAATGGTCCTCAGAATTAGACACAAAACTTAACAAATATCAACTTCTAGACATTTGAATTCACTTTTGGGACATAATGTGCTTTTCACTTCTCAAAAAGAGTTTCAACTAGTCACATTCTCAGGTATTTCTGTGAGGAGTTTGCATGTATTTCCCTGGTAGGTTTTCTCCAGGTGCCCCGGTATCCCCTACCACTAAAACAGTACAAAATGGAAAAATATTGGTTCTCCAAAAGTTTATACGCGCTTTGTCTGACCTTGGTTCATTATTATTATCACAAATACAGATTACACTGCAAAAAATGATGAATATGAGATTATACTTGCTTGACTCAAGTGGTTTTTGTCTTAATCTGACATAATCTGACTGTGTTAAAATCAGATTCTCCAATGGAACAAAGCCAGGGAGACATTTCTTGTATCTTTTTAAAACAAGATTATTTTGCTTGGTCCTATTGGCAAATCTTGTTTTCAGGCAGTCAAAAATGTGCTCAAGTTAGAACACATTTAGCCAGTTTTGAGCCAATTTTGACCTCTTTTCCATTACTTTTTGCAGTGTACTCACTCACTGACAATCTGAGAGGACGTTTTTTCCCAGATATCCTCCGTAAATCACTGCCTGAGTTGCACAAACTGTTGCAGAAAAGAAAAACTTGTACATTTTCTCGTCTCTGTCTCACACTGACCGCTCCCCAAGGGTTGCCCCCTCCCTTCTTCTCTCCCTGAATCAAAAGTTATACCCATGTCCTTGCAAACATCCTCTGCAACTTCTTTCCCATCTTGTGTGTGTGTTTTTTTTGCTTCTTTTGCTCCCACTTCCACGTGCAGTCTCCCACTCGAAACTGGGACGGAGGTCAGAACGGTGAGCCCGATATAAGAGGCCGCCGTGCATCCGCCGAGCGCCCTGTCAACTCCAAACAATAGCTGCAGAGAAGCCGCATATATGAGCGTATTCCCGGAGAAATGCCCTCTGCCACGCGCTAGACGATCCCAAAAGAGACGCCGCCACTTGTCTGCATACATTTTAACAGGCCTCACGGAGAACAAAAAATAAAAAATGGAGATTGTACCGTTCGCAAATAAATGATTTCACCTGGGACCCCGAGAGAGGCGTCCAATTTGCACACAGGCCTTTTCTTCTGCGGCGATTGGAATTGGTCATTAGGTGTGACAGCAGTCTGCGAGGAGGGCTTTTATTTAGCCTTGTTCCGTATGTAAATGTGAATGTAGCTGTTTGACGGCGCACAGGGAACAGATGTTACACGTTGCGTAAGAGTGCGTTTTATGGAGCCATGACTGAACCTTTGTGTTTCTGGATTTGCTTAACGGGTCGTGGGGTAAAGAGTACGTTTTCGAAAGCGGGTCATATGCTCAAGACGGTCGTGAATCAAACTGGACCAACTCACACCGTGTAGACTCAGACTGTTGTACGGCAAAAGGAAATGTGGATTATTGGGATTTGTGTCGTATAGTAATTGCAGTTGAGGACTCTGAGGAGCACAGGGAGGACTTCCAGGCCTTTCTGGGTGGAGTTTGCATGTTCTCCCCGTGTCTGCAGGTGTTCCGGAGTCAGGACTAGACATGAGGAGGCAGCAACTCAGATTTATGCTGCTAAAATCTAGAACAGTCTTCCGGAAGAGCGCTGGTGTGTGCCGTCTTCTCTGTTTGGTGCACACTGGGGTAGTCTTGCACAGTTTTTCCAATGTGGTTTTACTGCAAATGGCAAATAAATGAATCTGAATCTGATCCGAAAATATGAGATAGACGTCTTTGACAATGTCCAGGTTAAAAACTGTTGTGTTTGTCTTGTTAACGCACTGGGAATATTTCTTTATGAACTTTAGGGAGCTTTGTGTTGCTTTTTGAATGAAAAACTAATTCTGATTGATTGAATAAATCGGTAGTCGGTGGTCATTATCCGCAGATTTGTAAGTGTTGTGTGGCAGGGCATCTGTGGCAGCCCCCCCCCCCCCCCACCACAGTCCCCAACAAACTCTGACTCTTTTTATACTTATTGTAGATGCTAGAGTTAGAGATTTTGTTTTATTTTAATTTGGACAGCTCTTTCCTACTGTTCTATAACTTGTGATGCAACACTGAAATTTCCCCACTGTGGGACAAATAAAGGATCTCTTCATCTTAATCTTAATCTAACTCTTACATTGTTTAAACTGTACAGGATCCTGACTGTGTTCCTTGAGCGTCCAATAGAAAGCGAGCCACACGGCGCCCGCTGCAGAGAGCGCGGCGTCTGCTTTGGACCAGATAAATAATGTCTGGGCGTCTGTTGTGATCATGAAGAGTGGCTGTGGGGCCTAATTAGAGCGCTCTGTGGTGGAATGTAAAGAAGCACAGAATACAGGCCTGAAGAGGAAGTGAAAGGGGCCCCTGATAACAGCCCCCCCCCCCGCCTCCCTGTACCCCCCACTCACCCCCCACCCCTGTACCCCTACAACCCCACACCCCCCACACCCTCCACCGGCCACCCTCCTGTCAGACTTTGAGCAAGTTCACAATTGATGAAGCCCACAGGCAGCATGGCTAAATTTAGTCAGAATCACCTGCTAATTTTACCCCCCTCCAACCCGCCCCCCACCCCCCATCCAACCGCCCCGTGTACCCCCCCCCCCTTCCCCTCCCCGCCCACGGAGCGTGAAGAAACCAGGAGGTGACAGGACAGACGGCTGACGCTGAACTGACCGTCGAGGCCAGAAATGCTATTTTTAAGCTCATTCTTTGATTGCAAAAATATGTACACGCCCCTTTTTCATGCACTACAAAAACTTATAAAATATGAAGTAAAATAAGCTTGAACCACGTGTTTTCTGTTTTAATTTGACACATTGTGACTGTGTTAAAACAAGATTCTCCAACGGGACAAAGACATTTAATCTCATTCCAAGGGAGACATTTCTTGTATTTTTTTTATTTTGCTTTGTCCCTTTGGCAAATCTTCTTCTAAGGCTCAGTCGGAATGTTGTCAAATTAAGATATATTTTAATAAATCTGAGCATTTTTTACTCATTTTTCATCACTTTCAGTTTTCAGACCAATTTGTAGCTTTTTATTTATATTCAATATTTTATCATATTTGTGATCAGTGAACGGCCATTTGTCGATTTATAATTTCATATATTTTTATTCCATAGCAGTCCACCTTAAAAGAGCAGAATGTAAAGAAGTTTAAGTGTCTATTTGGAAGCATCAAACAAGTGTTATTATTAGTGTTATTTAAATAAAATAAATGAAATAAAAATGGTTCTTGTTTTGTCAAATGCATTCTGCTTTAGACGTTTTGTGAAACTAGACATTTTAATATTTATAAATCTATGAGAAATATCTGTAAATGTGCGTTAACAGCTCTCTCCTCACGTCTGGCAGCCTCTTCTCCGCTCTCTCCTCTCGTCTGGCAGCCTCTTCTCCGCTCTCTCCTCTCCTCTCTCTCCTCTCCGCTCTCTCCTTTCCGTTCTCTCCTCACGTCTGGCAGCCTCCTCTTCGCTCTCTCCTCTCCGTTCTCTCCTCACGTCTGGCAGCCTCCTCTCCGCTCTCTCCTCACGTCTGGCAGCCTCTTCTCCGCTCTCTCCTCTCGTCTGGCAGCCTCCTCTTCGCTCTCTCCTCTCCTCTCTCTCCTCTCCGCTCTCTCCTTTCCGCTCTCTCCTCACGTCTGGCAGCCTCCTCTCCGCTCTCTCCTCTCCGCTCTCTCCTCTCCGCTCTCTCCTCACGTCTGGCAGCCTCCTCTCCGCTCTCTCCTCACGTCTGGCAGCCTCCTCTTCGCTCTCTCCTCTCCGTTCTCTCCTCACGTCTGGCAGCCTCCTCTCCGCTCTCTCCTCACGTCTGGCAGCCTCTTCTCCGCTCTCTCCTCTCGTCTGGCAGCCTCCTCTTCGCTCTCTCCTCTCCTCTCTCTCCTCTCCGCTCTCTCCTTTCCGCTCTCTCCTCACGTCTGGCAGCCTCCTCTCCGCTCTCTCCTCTCCGCTCTCTCCTCACGTCTGGCAGCCTCCTCTCCGCTCTCTCCTCACGTCTGGCAGCCTCTTCTCCGCTCTCTCCTCTCGTCTGGCAGCCTCCTCTTCGCTCTCTCCCTCTCCTCTCTCTCCTCTCCGCTCTCTCCTTTCCGCTCTCTCCTCACGTCTGGCAGCCTCCTCTCCGCTCTCTCCTCTCCGCTCTCTCCTCACGTCTGGCAGCCTCCTCTCCCTCTCTCCTCACGTCTGGCAGCCTCCTCTCCGCTCTCTCCTCTCCGTTCTCTCCTCACGTCTGGCAGCCTCCTCCCGCTCTCTCCTCACGTCTGGCAGCCTCTTCTCCGCTCTCTCCTCTCGTCTGGCAGCCTCCTCTTCGCTCTCCTCTCTCCTCTCTCTCCTCTCCGCTCTCTCCTCTCCGCTCTCTCCTCACGTCTGGCAGCCTCTTCTCCGCTCTCTCTCTCGTCTGGCAGCCTCCTCTTCGCTCTCCATCCTCTTCGCTCTCTCCTCTCCGCTCTCTCCTCTCAGCTCTCTCCTTTCCGCTCTCTCACGTCTGGCAGCCTCCTCTTCGCTCTCTCCTCTTCGCTCTCTCCTCTCCGCTCTCTCCTTTCCGCTCTCTCCTCACGTCTGGCAGCCTCTTCTCCGCTCTCTCCTCTCCGTTCTCTCCTCTCCGCTCTCTCCTCTCCGCTCTCTCCTCTCCGTTCTCTCCTCACGTCTGGCAGCCTCCTCTTCGCTCTCTCCTCTCCGCTCTCTCCTTTCCGCTCTCTCCTTTCCGCTCTCTCCTCACGTCTGGCAGCCTCTTCTCCGCTCTCTCCTCTCCGCTCTCTCCTTTCCGCTCTCTCCTCACGTCTGGCAGCCTCTTCTCCGCTCTCTCCTCACGGCTCTCTCCTCTATGCTCTCTCCTCACGTCTGGCAGCCTCTTCTCCGCTCTCTCCTCACATCTGGCAGCCTCTTCTCCGCTCTCTCCTCTACGCTCTCTCCTCACGTCTGGCAGCCTCCTTTCCGCTCTCTCCTCTACGCTCTCTCCTCACGTCTGGCAGCCTCCTCTCCGCTCTCTCCTCACGTCTGGCAGCCTCCTCTACGCTCTCTCCTCACGTCTGGCAGCCTCCTTTCCGCTCTCTCCTCTACGCTCTCTCCTCACGTCTGGCAGCCTCCTCTCCGCTCTCTCCTCACGTCTGGCAGCCTCCTCTACGCTCTCTCCTCACGTCTGGCAGCCTCTTCTCCGCTCTCTCCTCTACGCTCTCTCCTCACGTCTGGCAGCCTCCTTTCCGCTCTCTCCTCTACGCTCTCTCCTCACGTCTGGCAGCCTCCTCTCCGCTCTCTCCTCACGTCTGGCAGCCTCCTATCCGCTCTCTCCTCACGTCTGGCAGCCTCCTCTCCGCTCTCTCCTCACGTCTGGCAGCCTCCTATCCGCTCTCTCCTCACGTCTGGCAGCCTCCTCTCCGCTCTCTCCTCACGTCTGGCAGCCTCCTCTCCGCTCTCTCCTCACGTCTGGCAGCCTCCTCTCCGCTCACTCCTCTACGCTCTCTCCTCACGTCTGGCAGCCTCCTCTCCGCTCTCTCCTCACGTCTGGCAGCCTCCTCTCCGCTCTCTCCTCTTCTCCCTTGCGCTGGAGCCTGGCCAGGGTTAATTATAGGGAGCTCAGTGCAAATGCTCCGCTCACTACAATATTGTCATAATGCCATGTCCGATAGAGAAGAGAGGAGAGAGAAGACACACCTGTCCAACACACTTTAGCAGACAGACTGTTCAGGAGCTGCTGCCAGGACTCGGTGAGCTCAGTGCCAGACCTGGAACCAGACGAACACACAATGGAGGCGCTTTTTTGGAAAGGGACGTCCTCTCATTGTGAATAAATACAACAGTTTTTGACATATGCAAGACTGCTAGAAAAAAATTCAACAACTTTTGAACTGTAGTTATACTGGATAGTTATATGAGGTGATAATGGCTTGAATCGAGGGGTTTTAAGCTTAATTTAACTGTTTCTGACTGTGTTAAAACAAGATTTTTGAATAGTATAAAGTCATTTAGTCTTGTTTCAAGAACTGTTGCTTTATTTTCTCATTTCAAAAGAGGCATTTTTTTCTTTTTAACACAGGTTCATGTTGCTTCGTCCCATTGGAAAATCTTCAGTCAGAATGTGTTCGAATTAGGAGACATTTAGCCAAATTTGAGCCATTTATGACTACTTTTTGCAGTGAAAATGTCCATAATGTCCTCAACGATCCGAGCCCTGGCACTACGGCACAACAGTGTAAAAGACTTGAGTTGTAAGTTTTGTGATTAGTTGGATCTTTCATAAGTTTCAAGCTGTGGCAATAGTCCTCTGTCATCACAGTAATTACTCTATTTTGTTTCGCAGTTTACAAAAATGTAAATAATTATAATGGATAATTTTTTTATCTATCTTTTTGGACACTCGCAGACGCACTACTTAGTTAGTATTCTAGCCATAGCTGCCCTGGGACACACTAACAGTAGCGAGGCAACCAATCTGTACCATCAGCCCCTACTACCACACACACACACACACACACACACACACACACACACACACACACACACACACACACACACCAGAGTCATTGTATTGTGGTGTCTTGCCTAAGGACACAACCACAGTTTGGCACTTTACAGCCCCAGTGGCACTTGCTGTTCCCAGAGGTCTCCCATCACAGTACTAGCCAGCCCCTGCCCTGCTTAGCTTCAGAGGTCTGACAGGATCTGGCTTTCACCTGCAGGTACGGTCACTACAAGTGTCGGGACATAAATCTCAGCTTCTTTTGGGGTTTTCTGGGAGAAGTTGGTGTTGGTACCAGTGTCCCGTCACCGCGAGCCGCTGTGAAGTGCCCTAGAAACGATTTCATCTCCTGCTCCTGAAGTTTTCTCCGTCTATTTTAAAATGCCCCATTTCCGCCATTGTTGTGGCATTGTTTTGACCTTACGCTGAGCAATTTTCCCCAAGTCAAATTAGATTTCAGCATCTAGAGAAAGAGACGGTGATAAAATGGTTTGACGGTTGTGCCTTTGAAATCTGAAGAAATGGAAGGCTCTGCCACTGGGGTTAATGATATTCCTCCTTTTCAACAAGTACCTTGGGATCCGGAGTGTCCTTGAAGCAAACGGCATCTTGCAGCGCTCATAGGGACGGCACTGTACTTTTGTGCTTCAGATGTACCTGTTTTAGTCTCCACATTCAGAAAATACAACGTAGTCATTCAATGTGACGAGGAAATCTAAACTGTCACCTTTTCACCTCTGAAAACTACTGTGTGACAAAAAGCAAGTGTTAGATGTTTGTTTTCACGACTTTAAAGGCACAAAAGCGGCCGTATAAATGTCATGATTCATTCTGAGCAGTTTTAAGATTAAGATTAGGATGAAGAGATTCCTTATTTGTCCCACTGCGCGGAAATGTCAGTGTTGCATCACCAGTTACAGAAGATTAATGAACAATAACAATTGTAAACCGCTTTGTGACTCTGGTCTGTGAAAGGCGGTATATAAATAAACATTACTTACTTACTTACTTACTTACTAATAACACTGAAAAAGACGTCAGCAATTGCTCAAAGTTTGCAAAATGTAATTACATATTAGAACAAGATTTTACAACGGGACAAAGCAAAATGATCTTGTTTCAAAAAAATACAAGAAATGTCTCCCTTGGAATGAGAAAATAAACATCAGTTCTTACTACTTCATATATTGCAGTGTATCTCTCTATCCGGGTTGCCAGTTTCAATATATGGTAAAATCCAGTCATTTTAACCAGACATTAATCCAATAATTCAGCCTTAGAGCAGCCTCATCAGCAGTGTGTGTGCATGTGTGTGTGTGTGTGTGTGTGTGTGTGTGTGTGTGTGTGTTACTTTGGCAACACAAGTTTACACATTATTGTACATAAGAGAAAGAAAAAAAAAATCTCTGGCATTTAAAAAAAATAGTAAAACAGCCCATAAAAGCCGTCTGCAGTGACAGGTGCGTCCCAGAGAGGGCACTCTTTCCCCAGAGCACCTCCTCCTCCTCCTCCTCCTCCTCCTCCTCCTCCTCCCCACAGGTGGCTCTGAGGTGCTCCGAAGGGAATGGACTCAGATGTAACAAAACATGAGACAGGAGAGTGCTGAGCTGGGCATAATGATTTATTAACGTCCACTCCTTGGAATCCAGCGCTGGTCGTGTGTGGGGCTGTGATGCTTCCTCCGGGGACTCGAATAACAAGAGAGAACAATTCAGATTCACCAAAAGTTGTGTGTGAGCGAGCACAGAGGAGCGCTGCAGGGAGCCGGGGGACAGCAGCCGAACAAATGTGCAGTCTGGGAGTGCGTGAAGCCGAGGTCAGAACCAAAAGTCCAATTTCACCCGTTCAGAAGTCTGTCATGTCTTCTGTCACCGCGGCAAAGAAGGAGAGAAACGTAAAACTTTTTAAGCAGTGCAGAGGAAACACCGTATGCACACAACAGTCAAAGGCTAAATGGTCAAAACATTTCAATTCCTGCAAAAAAGTGATGAAAATAAGTCAACAATTGCTCAAATTAAGCTTAAGTTTTAAAATGAAATGAGTTTTGTTTAGAATTTGCATAAACAGATATCTCCGTTTCGAGAAGTTGTGTTTTTTGTAGCTACAATAATCAATCAATCAATCAATCAATCTTTATTTATAGGGCGCTTTTCCTGCACAGGGCAACACAAAGCGCCTCACAGTCCACACCACACAATGCACAAATCATCACCATTAAAATACAATTAAAAACACATATGTAATTAAAAAGCATTAAAATCACATAAGTAATTTAAAAACATAAAAATCACACAAGTAATTAAAAACAATAAAATAGTTAAAAACACAAAAAGTTACAACAATAAATAACAAGGTGTGTTAAAAAGATAAAATTCTCTAGTTGTATGCACGGGAAAAAAGAAAAGTCTTTAACATGGATTTGAACATTGACAGAGAGGCAGCCAGTCTCACATCCTCAGGAAGACCGTTCCAGACTCCAGCTGCATAAATCTGAAAAGCAGCCTCCCCCTGTCTAGTCCTGACTCTGGGCACTAACAGGAGTCCCGTCCCTGCGCTCCTCAGAGTCCGGGCTGGTTCATATGGGACTAGCATATCATGGATGTACTTTGGTGCAAGGCCATGGAGAGACTTGTACACCAGGAGAGCTGCTTTAAAGTCTATTCTCTGGGCCACGGGAAGCCAGTGCAGAGACCTGAGGACCGGACTAATGTGGTCGTACTTCCTGGTTCTAGTCAGGACTCGGGCTGCAGCATTTTGAATATACTGCAACTGTCTTACTGCATGTTTGGAGATACCTGTGAGCAGGCCATTGCAGTAATCCAGCCTACTGGAAACAAAAGAATGGATAAGAATCTCCAAGTCTGCCCTGGACACAATATTTTTAATTTTGGCAATATTTTTCAGATGATAAAAAGCTGCTGATGTTAGCGATCCAATGTGGCTATTGAAGTTTAAGTCAGAGTCCATTATTACTCCCAGATTTCTGACCTTATTTAAGGGCCTTAGGGAGAGAGACTGAAGGTGACAAATGACGGTCTCTCTTTGTTTCTCGGGACCAAAGACAATCATTTCGGTTTTGTCCGCATTTAGCTGGAGAAAATTGCATTGCATCCACTCACTGATCCGCTGGATACAGCGAAGGAGTGAGTCCACCGGCCCATGCTCTCCTGCAGTCAGTGAGACATAGATCTGAGTGTCATCAGCGTAATTGTGGTAGGACACTTTCATACTTTGAATTAACTGACCTAATGGCAGCATGTAAATATTGAACAGGAGAGGTCCCAGAATCGACCCCTGTGGCACTCCGCAGGTCAGGGGATCAACATTTTTCTCTTATTGGCAGTAAATTAAAAAGGATTTTCTCAACAAGGGGTGAACATGCATCTATAAGACACCTGGCTTTTAAGAAAACTACTTGGTAAAGGGCAAATTGTAAGTCTTTCTAATATTCTATCTGATGGCACTTGAACTATTCCAACAACTTTGTCCCATTCTTGTTTTAAAACACTCAGAAGTTACTTAAATTGAGGCAAAAAAAAAATGATTTAAGCATTAATGACTTCATATTTGCTCATTTTTTGCAGTGTATCTGGGAGAATGTGAAAAGATACTGTGCAAATGTCTGTTATAATTGGTGTGTTGTCAAGGCGAGTTTATCTGTTTAGCGCAGTTCAGACACAAGGGAACCCAAAAAATGGCCTAAATCAGGTGTTTTTTGGCTTAATTTTTGTACTGTTTTAAAACAAGATTTGCCATTTAGTCATTTTGCTCTGTCCCATTGGCAAATCTTGTTTTAAAGCAGTCAGAATGTGCTCAAATTAAGATACATTTATCCAATTTTTACTTTTTTGCATTTTCTGGCTTGTCTTTCATCACTTTTTGCAGTGTAATCTTTAACAAACTCGCGACAGAAGTCAGTACATGTATTTCAAAAGTCCCATTACTCCATCTGATATGTTAACGATGCACTTGTTGTGTAGTGATCCTTGTCTGGGCCCCATTGCATTGTGGGATTTGCAGTTCCGCGGCCGTGTGAGGTCAGCCTTCTCTCTGTCTGTCGGAGCAGAACACTATCCTTCACCTAAGTTTAGGAAGGACGTGGACGTTTCAGTCTACTTCATAAAGTTCAGAGCTGCGGCCGCTGTGGGAGCTTGTGGGGTTTTGACGGCTGGATGTGAGAGTTTTTAAATGGGCCGCGAGCTGGTGGTGTGCGGGGGCCTAAAAATAAGAAGTGGCCCCCTGGTCTGAGCCGTGGCAGATGGACGTAGAGAGAGTGGTGCCAGCCGAGCCCTCCCTGGACCTGCCATGAGGAAGGCAGACGTCCGGAAGGTCAGTCTGAGCTGGTCCTGTCGTCAGAAGATCAAATAATGGCTTTCATAGACGCTTCAATCAAAGGCCGTTCTGTGAGACGGATCGTAAACGTCTGCTCCGCGATAGTTCTGGTTCTTTCACATCATTCTTCTTGACACCGGTGTTGTCCAAAAGTCCGTGACTCTGTGTTCGAAATGGTCGGGGATGGTTTTAGCAACACATGGACTGGATCAGAATCTGAATTTCTTGCGAAGAGTCTGATCAGAATAATTGTCTGCAGTGAAACTAGAGAGATGGTGCTCTTGGAATCACAAGGTCCAGTAAAAGTAGAATCAAAACCAGATGGAGGTGAACGAGAACTCATGCTGCAGTGTGTACACGGATGTCAAATATGGGACGAGATGAGTTGCAGAGAAGTCTTATTAAAAGCAGCGTTTATCAATAATGTACCTCTATTTGAGCAATGGGAGTAACGGCTATCCGTGATTGGTCGTAATATTACACTGCAAAAAGTGGTGAAAAATAAGTCAAAAATGTCTCAAATTTGAGAAAATGTATCTTAATTTGAGCACATTCTGACTAAGCCTTAAAACAAGATTTTCCAATGAGACAAATCAAAAGGATCCATCCATTTTCTTCCGCTTCATCCGTTGCCGGGTTGCGGGGGCAGCAGTCTAAGCAGAAACGCCCAGGCTTCCCTATCCAGGGCGTTCCCAGGGCATTCCCAGGGCGTTCCCAGGGCGTTCCCAGGGCGTTCTCAGGGCGTTCTCAGGGCGTTCTCAGGGCGTTCTCAGGGCGTTCCCAGGGCGTTCCCAGGGCGTTCCCAGGGCGTTCCCAGGGCGTTCTCAGGGCGTTCTCAGGGCGTTCTCAGGGCGTTCCCAGGGCGTTCTCAGGGCGTTCCCAGGGCGTTCTCAGGGCGTTCTCAGGGCGTTCCCAGGGCGTTCCCAGGGCGTTCCCAGGGCGTTCTCAGGGCGTTCTCAGGGCGTTCTCAGGGCGTTCTCAGGGCGTTCTCAGGGCGTTCCCAGGGCGTTCCCAGGGCGTTCCCAGGGCGTTCCCAGGGCGTTCCCAGGGCGTTCTCAGGGCGTTCTCAGGGCGTTCTCAGGGCGTTCCCAGGGCGTTCCCAGGGCGTTCTCAGGGCGTTCCCAGGGCGTTCTCAGGGCGTTCCCAGGGCGTTCCCAGGGCGTTCTCAGGGCGTTCTCAGGGCGTTCTCAGGGCGTTCTCAGGGCGTTCTCAGGGCGTTCTCAGGGCGTTCCCAGGGCGTTCTCAGGGCGTTCTCAGGGCGTTCCCAGGGCGTTCCCAGGGCGTTCTCAGGGCGTTCTCAGGGCGTTCTCAGGGCGTTCTCAGGGCGTTCTCAGGGCGTTCCCAGGGCGTTCCCAGGGCGTTCCCAGGGCGTTCCCAGGGCGTTCTCAGGGCGTTCTCAGGGCGTTCTCAGGGCGTTCCCAGGGCGTTCCCAGGGCGTTCTCAGGGCGTTCCCAGGGCGTTCTCAGGGCGTTCCCAGGGCGTTCCCAGGGCGTTCTCAGGGCGTTCTCAGGGCGTTCTCAGGGCGTTCTCAGGGCGTTCCCAGGGCGTTCTCAGGGCGTTCCCAGGGCGTTCTCAGGGCGTTCCCAGGGCGTTCTCAGGGCGTTCTCAGGGCGTTCCCAGGGCGTTCTCAGGGCGTTCCCAGGGCGTTCCCAGGGCGTTCTCAGGGCGTTCTCAGGGCGTTCTCAGGGCGTTCTCAGGGCGTTCCCAGGGCGTTCCCAGGGCGTTCCCAGGGCGTTCCCAGGGCGTTCTCAGGGCGTTCTCAGGGCGTTCTCAGGGCGTTCTCAGGGCGTTCCCAGGGCGTTCTCAGGGCGTTCCCAGGGCGTTCTCAGGGCGTTCCCAGGGCCTTCCCAGGCCAGCTGAGAGACATAGTCCCTCCAGCGTGTCCTGGGTCTTCCTCGCACTGGGAGCAGGACACGGGAAAGACCCAGCAAAATGATCTTATATCGAAAAGATACAAGAAATGTCTCTCTTGGAAAGAGAAAAAAAAAGTTCAAGTAAGACTAAATGGATTTGTCAGAAAAACACTTGGTTCAAGCAATTATTACCCCATATTTGATATATTTTGCAGCGTAGGTTCTGTGTAAGTCTATCTTATCTTAAAACCAACAGGCCCAGTCCTGGCTGGTCACCGAGGTCTAGCTCCAGTTTAATAATTTTCCATAATTAACACTTTTTAATCTTTTGTGCAACTTAAGTTAGCTGCCGAACCGAATGATGGTTTTAGCGCAACAAAACTCCCTTTATACTGTTATTAAAAAAGATGTAAAATGACTTCAGTTGAGAGAGAATAGATAATAATTTTAGTTTGAAACATTAAAGTCCACGTCGTTTGCCGCTTCTTTCCACAAACCATTATCGCGACCCGCACTGATCGTCGCCTTCCTTTAAAGTTGGGGCTAGCACTTATAGCTGCATTGCTTGAATAAAAGTTTTTTGACATTAGCAAGCTGTTTCCAGGGCCAATTTCAAATGAGCTGGTATCAAAGCCGCAAACGAGCGTAGAGGAAGTTTGGAGGTGCTAATGACTTTGAGTGTCCCTGTGGAAAGGCTTATACTGTTCCCCACAACTTCTCCGAGATCTGCTGCTTAATAAATCATGCCAGATGAGTTTATCGTGCGGATCCAGAATAGTCCTCTGGGTGAGTTGCTAAAAGGCGACTCCATAGCCTCTTACGTTATTTTTTTTTTTTTTTACCTTCTGCTGTCAAGACGGAAGTGACTGCGCCGCTGCGAGGAGAAACCGTCTGGCTGCCATTGCGCCTCTCCCCCTCTATACCTTTCCTTAAAAAAAGTCGTCTTCATCAAGGGCTAATCCTCTTTGATGATCTGCCGGCAACAAATTAGCCATTCTTGTTTACTGTAATTGGGTTCTTGGATGTGGCGCAGATAATGGGGGTGAACTTTCTCTTCGTCTCTCATGGAAGCGGCGATAGCATCTGCGGCTGCCGTGTGGAAGAGGCTTATCTCAATGGCCTCGTGCAGCTTGTCATCCATCGGGAGTGATAAAAACGATAGCGATCGACATTTTTTGATGGGATTCTCACTCCGGCATCAAGGAAACTTCTAAGACTTCATGTTTTTTTTTTAAAGAATTAAGCAGTGCTGCAGTTTTGGCTGGAAGTGTGCAGCTGTTGTACTTCAAGTGATCACTGCAGAAGCAATATCGACGTGTGTTTTTGGTACTTGATTTGAGAAGATTTGACTTTACAAGTTATCTGTCAGTGGAACAAGACTCTTTTCTTTAAAACAAGAAAACATTTCTCTTGAGTTTCTTGAGTTATGCGTTATTATATTATCTCGCCCCATTCCCACAATTAGACTGTATTTACATTGAATATATTAATCTAAAACTTGTGCAATTACATTTAAAAAAACATCCAAATCCAATCAATGTAAAGTCATTCAGTGATTGGATGCAGCAAACCGTTCTCTAAATCCCCTCTGACGCACACCAACACAAATACATCATATAAACTTTCTTCTGTGATCAGATTTGGGGATGAGTTTAAAAATGCCTTTGTCTTCATTCTACTCCTATCTGTGACTGCAATGTTAGAAAAAATAATAATACAACCAATATTCAATTCAATTTAGCGTTATTATGGACTTTAGGCCCATTTTAAAACATTCAGACAGGACAAAGTTAACATACAAATAGTTCTGACTTTGAAAGACAAACCGGTGTCTCCTCCGAAAGTCCGAAAATGAAATAATATTACCCCTGACCAGATTTCAGAGCTAATATTCATTCATTTTCTGACTTACCCCTGACTAACCCTGACCCTAACCCTTTGTCAAGTCGTACATTAGGGTCCTCAGCACAGCCTGGATATATATTTCACTACAATGACAACAAAAAAGTTGGCTGCTCACAGATTTAGAACGAGCACAAGGGCAAATCTCTCAAAAAATCTTTTATTAGGAACATGAGAGAGAAGAATATTGTCTGGAGCACTTTGACCTTTACAGAAAACTCTTCCATCCATAAACTGTTGATATGTGATTCTTCTGTGTGTTTTCCCTGCATGCAACATGGCTCTCCTTGCCTTTCCCCTTCCCCTGCACCAAGGTGACCAAAGTCTTTGCCATGACTTTGAAGGCTGTTGCGGGCAGAGCACTATTCCTCCAGCGTCCTCCAGGGGAGACAAGTCAGTATCGCGCCGATCTGAGCTAATGACTTGGGAGAACAAACCCCGGTCTCTTAACATCCAAGACTTATTATTTTTAGCTGCGGCCAATGCTAAGCTTATCCCTCTTACAAGGAGCATGTTTTGTCATATCACAAGTGGAAAAGAAAGGCCAATGACTGCAGGGGAAGTCAGCCACATTGAAGCAGACCCTGACCTCTGGCTCCGCACACGGACAGCATTATTCTTAACAAGGGCCAAGGAAAGACAAGACTTTTCTTTTGTCTCCTTTTGTCTCCTTTTGTCTCCTTTTGTCTCCTTTCGTCGTCTTACAGGAAGTAAAACGATAGTATTTGATAACGGTGGTGGCTCTGTATGACAAGTGGGGAACTTTCACTCTACATTGTTTTAGTTTTTCACTGGTCAGCGATTATTTATTCTATTTATTTATGAAGTTATTGCGTTTTGGATTTGATTTAGATGACGAGATCTTTTACTGGTCCCACAGTGGGGAAAGATGAAGGAGATTAAGAACCTCTTTGTCAAGGGAGTCCTGGACAAAAGTTACATACATTACAGATGATTAAAACAGTTACATTTCACTGAAGATGTCTCAAGTGCTCTCTCTGTGAGTAACTGATCCAAACTGTATGAACCAACACCTCTCTGTGAGTAACTGATCCAAACTGTATGAACCAACACCTCTCTGTGAGTAACTGATCCAAACTGTATGAACCAACACCTCTCTGTGAGTAACTGATCCAAACTGTATGAATCAACACCTCTCTGTGAGTAACTGATCCAAACTGTATGAACCAACACCTCTCTGTGAGTAACTGATCCAAACTGTATGAACCAACACCTCTCTGTGAGTAACTGATCCAAACTGTATGAACCAACACCTCTCTGTGAGTAACTGATCCAAACTGTATGAACCAACACCTCTCTGTGAGTAACTGATCCAAACTGTATGAATCAACACCTCTCTGTGAGTAACTGATCCAAACTGTATGAACCAACACCTCTCTGTGAGTAACTGATCCAAACTGTATGAACCAACACCTCTCTGTGAGTAACTGATCCAAACTGTATGAACCAACACCTCTCTGTGAGTAACTGATCCAAACTGTATGAACCAACACCTCTCTGTGAGTAACTGATCCAAACTGTATGAACCAACACCTCTCTGTGAGTAACTGATCCAAACTGTATGAACCAACACCTCTCTGTGAGTAACTGATCCAAACTGTATGAACCAACACCTCTCTGTGAGTAACTGATCCAAACTGTATGAACCAACACCTCTCTGTGAGTAACTGATCCAAACTGTATGAACCAACACCTCTCTGTGAGTAACTGATCCAAACCTTCTGTGGACAAAGATCCAGAATACCGTTCACAGCGAGTCCAGGCTTTGCGGTTCGTAATGAACCTCAGAAGAATGATACAAAGTGTCAATCTGACGGAGACTTTGAGTTGAGGCCTTCACACATCAGGTCTGAACTAAAATAGATACAAATGTTGCAGTAACAAAATTTTTCTTTGATTCATCTTCCTCAACTTTCTTCCGCTCAGTCCGACTTCCATGGTAGCGCGGGGCGACAGGAACGACCTCCCCCGGGACCTGGGACTTAAACTTAGCCGATGGCGAACACAGTGACCAGACGCCTTCTCCTTCTCCTTCTCACTTCTCCCTCTCCCTCTCCCTCTCCCTCTCCCTTCTCCCTCTCCCTCTCCCTCTCCTTCTCCTTCTCCCTTCTTCCTCTCCCTCTCCTTCTCCCTCTCCCTTCTCCCTCTCCCTTCTCCCTCTCCCTTCTCCCTCTCCCTTCTCCCTCTCCCTCTCCCTCTCCTTCTCCTTCTCCCTTCTCCCTCTCCCTCTCCTTCTCCCTCTCCCTTCTCCCTCTCCCTCTCCCTCTCCTTCTCTCTCTCCCTCTCCCTCTCCCTCTCCCTCTCCTTCTCTCTCTCCTTCTCCCTTCTCCCTCTCCCTCTCCTTCTCCTTCTCCCTTCTCCCTCTCCCTCTCCCTCTCCCTCTCCCTCTCCCTCTCCTTCTCCTTCTCCCTTCTCCCTCTCCCTCTCCTTCTCTCTCTCCCTTCTCCCTCTCCCTCTCCCTCTCCTTCTCTCTCTCTCCTTCTCCCTTCTCCCTCTCCCTCTCCTTCTCCTTCTCCCTTCTCCCTCTCCCTCTCCTTCTCCCTCTCCCTTCTCCCTCTCCCTTCTCCCTCTCCCTCTCCCTCTCCTTCTCCTTCTCCCTTCTCCCTCTCCCTCTCCTTCTCCCTCTCCCTTCTCCCTCTCCCTTCTCCCTCTCCCTTCTCCCTCTCCCTTCTCTCTCTCCCTCTCCCTCTCCCTCTCCCTCTCCCTCTCCCTCTCCCTTCTCCCTCTCCCTCTCCTTCTCCTTCTCCCTTCTCCCTCTCCCTCTCCTTCTCCTTCTCCCTCTCCCTCTCCCTTCTCCCTCTCCCTTCCTCCCTCTCCCTTCTCCCTCTCCCTTCTCTCTCTCCCTCTCCCTCTCCCTCTCCCTCTCCCTCTCCCTTCTCCCTCTCCCTCTCCTTCTCCTTCTCCCTTCTCCCTCTCCCTCTCCTTCTCCCTTCTCCCTCTCCCTTCTCCTTCTCCCTCTCCCTCTCCTTCTCCTTCTCCCTTCTCCCTCTCCCTCTCCTTCTCCTTCTCCCTCTCCCTCTCTCCCTTCTCCCTCTCCCTTCTCCCTCTCCCTTCTCCTTCTCCCTTCTCCCTCTCCTTCTCCTT